AGCGCGTGCTTCGCGTTGCGCTGGACGCGCATGATGAGGCCGTGGGAGATCTCGCGTGGGGGGGGCGCGGCTGGGACTGGAGGCTTGGCATAGGAGGGCAAAACATCCACCCCCATAACACGCAGCCCGGCAAGCGAGGCCGTTTAGTAGACGCACACAAAGAAGGAATCCAGCAGGGCAGGGCGGCTTAGTAAATGCCCAAGGCCGTTCAGCAAACGCCAATGATCGGGTCTGGGTGGTTTGTCTTCCCTTGATGGGAGCGAGCACCAACACCAGAGCAAGGAATGGCCTCCACCGGGGCAAGACGGTCCTAAGATTCTGGTGCTCGTGGTCCAAGCTCCCGGGCGCCCAGGAAGAGCCCGAACGCGACCAACCGCCCGCGAGATCGGTATCCTGGCACCCTCGGTGGGGGCGCACAACGCCGATGCTGGTGTTGGTGACAGTCTCTAGGCTGAGGTCGGGCCTGTCCCCCTACAGGGGGATTTGGGGCGACAAATGAAAAACAGTCCAGACAGATTCCGAACATGCACAAAAAAACGCATTCTACACAAAAAAGTCACCTGACGACTTGTTGACTATGTTTGACTTGTTGACAAATTAAAAACAGTCCAGACATATTCCGAACATGATCAAAAAAACATATTCAGCAAAAAAAGTCACCTGACGACTTGTTGACTATGTTTGACTTGTTGACAAATTATAAACAGTCCAGACATATTCCGAACATGATCAAAAAACAGATTCCGCAAAAAATCACCTGACGATTTGTTGACTATGTTTGCGAATATTCCTCCTGTAGAGGGACGTGCCCGACTCGTCTCTGAGCCCCCGACGATCCGTTCCATCGGGCCCGCTGTCGGTTTTTGGCGGGCCCGATCCAGTTCGATTCCAAGATTCGACGATCCCATGCGGCCTGATGCTTGCATGGCGCTCTTGTGCGTGCTGGCGCAGCCGATCTGCTTGCCGATGCAGGCCGATCCCACGAAGATGTCGAGGCGATCCGATTTCCCGATTCGATGCTGACGGGAGCCCCCACCGCCCAGGGAGGCGGAGGGCCCCGAGAGCCGAGGCCCTGGGAAGACTGGCGAGGGCGGCCCGCGCCCTGCCGTGCGCCGCCTCCGGGGAGCAGCCCCCGCCGGGGCCCCCCCTGGGCCGTCGGGGGGAGACCCAGGGACGAGGATAGCGGCCCCAGGAGGAGGAGGAGGAGGAGGAGGAGGAGGAGGAGGAGGAGGAGGAGGAGGAGGAGGAGGAGGAGCAGCCCCCGCCAGGGACCCCCTGGGCCGTCGGGAGGAGACCCAGGACGGAGATAGCGGCCCCAGGAGGAGGAGGAGGAGGAGGAGGAGGAGGAGGAGTCTAACCTTATCTTATCTTATAGCATAGTCGATTGTATTGTGGTGTAGCGGCTTGTCTTATCATCTCGTCTTATCCTAGCAGGGCCCACGCCTCGAAAAGAAGGGAGCGGCCTGATGTCTGGGAACGGAGGGTGGGAGCGGACGGGATGGGGGCGGGAGGGGGGAACGGACGGTGGATCCCTCGGACACATCGGAAGGGGGGTCGTCGCCGCCGCCCTCGACATCCTGCGCCTACTGCTCATCCTCCTTCAGCCGTCAAGGGTTGGGCCCCGACAGTCATGCTGCAAATGCCTGCTGAGTCTTCGCGCATTTTGCAAAGCGAACGCGAGGTGACAGAAGGCGGCGGCGGCGGCGGCAATGCTAACGGTGAGGAGATGCAGGGAAAGCGGGAACGAGGCACGTGTGATATGCACGAGAAACTCTCAAGCATTCCCACGGATATTGACCTCCTCATCCTCCCCCTCCTATTTCCTAGATACCCCTGGACCGCCCACCAGAACCACCTGCGTAGAACCCCCTATCAGAAACACGAGGTTCCCCAGACCCCGTCAAACCTCCGTCGCTGAAAAAAGGCCCGCGGTGTCCAAAGGCGACCGCACGATCGGACACTCTAGTCCACCCGAAGAAATTGTATACTATACCCAAAAGCCTTGTGGGGACGAGCGAGGGTCCTGGTGGTGGGTCTGGTGTACAAAACCTATCCCTGGGGAGTGGCTTTCGTATGGAGAGAGTGACCCTGGGCGGTGGAATTTGACTGGGGAGGGGAGGATGTGATGAAAACCCCTTGAGGATCTAGGGCGCTAGTCTTCTCCCCCTTCCCTCCCCGAAGAGGAAGAGACAGAGATCCGCCACCGTGCCTTGGCACGTTGAGGCGTGGAAGAATGCCAAATGCTGTCTGGCATGGATTCCTGTAGTCTTCGAGGGGCCCCCCCCCTCTCCGTCTCCCACGCACACATAAAATCGACTGCACCATCCCTACTCCTGGGGCTCCCTGGGCGGCCAAGACACCTCGCTGGCGCTCCCCAAGACATCCAAAACGCCCAAGATGGCGTCCAAGGCAGACCTGGCGGGCCACCAAGGCCGCCAAGATGGTCCAAGAGTTCTACATGACGGCCTAAGATGGCCCACGATGGCCTCGAGGCGGCCCGAAAGGCCTCCAAGACAGCCCAAGAGGGCTCAAATAGAGCCTCCAGCAACGCCCGAAGAGGCAAACATCACTGAGACTCTGCATGCGTTGAAAAGAATGTCGCGTTCTCGCCGTTTCGAGCTGTCGTCGGCTCAAGACAGCCCAAGAAGCCCCCGAAATGGCCTCAAGACTGCCCAGGAGGGCATCAAGAGGGCCCCAAGACGGTGACGGCCCAACACGGTGCCAAGATGGCCCAAGAGCGACCATAGGACCCCAAGTCGGGCCAAGAAGGCGCTCAGACGGCACTCAAGGTCCCCAAGATAGCCCCAAGACGACCCAAAGGTCTCCCAAAGATGGATTCCAAAACGGCCACACGGCCAAAGAGCGCCCTCAGACGGCCAAGGAGCCCCCAAGAGCCCCCGACGGGCCCCCAAAGCGCTGCCAAGAAGCCCCAAGATGCCCCAACGAACCCCTCAAGAGGTCCCCAAAACCTGCAAGAAGCCCGAAGTGTCATCCGTGACGGCCTCCCGTGCTATCTCGAACAATCGCCATCGAACGTCCAGGACTGGCACAGTGGCGGGACTTGCCGCAGGAAGCTGGATAGAGAGGAGGAGGAGGCGGAGGAGGAGGGGGAGGAGGAGAGGAGGTGGAGGAGGAGGAGAGGACGAGGAGGAAGAGGAGGAGGAGGAGGGATCGACGGGTCTCCAGGGCTAGGAAGGAGACGAAGAGGAGGAAAAGGAAGCGGGATGGGGAATCCCACCGGCCCTTGACGACTGAAGCGGTCTGAGGCGCTTTCTCTTCCAAGCGCATTGTGCCCCTTCGTGCAGGAGTTTACTCCTCCCTTCCCCACCCTGGTTTGGACGAGGGGGGTCGATAGCAGCTAGAACGCGCATGAGTGCACAAGATAGCTCCAAGATGGTCCCAGATAACCCAAAACTGCATCCAAGATGGCGCACAGTAGCCCAAGATGGTAACCACTATGCCTCTGAGAGACCCCAAGACCATCCCCAAACGGCTCCCCAAGTGGACACGGAGCCTCCAGAGGAAGCCCCAAAGAGACCTTCCTTCCAAAGCCAAAGGCAACTCGATAATGTGTGACTTATCGCAGAGTCGCTTACCATGGGCTCCTGTGGCCTCAAGGCGTCTGCAAGATGGTTGAAGAGAACCCCAAAAAGGGCCCAGGAGGGCTCCAAGACGGACCACAAAAAACGCGAGAGCGCCCCAAGAGCGTGCCAAGGAGGGCCACAACGGTGGCAGGGTGGTGAGATACGCGACATGTCAAGACATTCTACCGCATGAATGGACAGCGTCGTGATGTCTGGAGAACTTGTTCACTCTCATGGTATGATCAGGCCAGTGTGGTTGGAGGCCTCGAGGCCTCGAGGAGGAGGAGGAGGAGGAGGAGGAGGAGGAGGAGGAGGAGGAGGAGGAGGAGAGGAGGAGGGGAGGAGGAGGAGGAGGAGGAGGAGGCGGAGAAGGAGGAGGGGGAGGAGGATGACAGCGAGCAGAAGACAACGAGATACGCTCGGCGCGTTCCCACACAAGTTCTTGTGATCTCTAGGTTGAAAGAGGAGGAGGAGGAGGAGGAGGAGGAGGAGGAGAAGGAAGAGGATGAGGAGGAATCGGAGGAGGAACCAGTTGAGGGATGATGATGCGAAGGTTAAGGATGGGGGAGGAAGAATGCGACGGCGGCGATTACGACGATTCAATCACAAAGGCCATTGCAGGTGCGGATCTTTCGCTCTGGGACCTCCTCTGGAAGCCTCTTGGAGCCCTCGTGTTGCTATTTGGGCGGCCTCGGATGCCCGTTTCGGGCTTCCACGGGGACGTCCTGGAGGCCATCGAGCTGAAATAGTGAGCCTGCGCTTGGCCTGCACTCTCACGACTTCTTTGACGGCGCGCAGCTGCCTGCGTCGCTCGCGATCAAAAGTATCTCACCAGCCTGTTCAGCAGCAATGCCCAGGCGAGTTGCATTGATCAGGGGAGCGTAGGATCATCCAGAGTAACAGTGGGACCAGCCTGCGCAGACCCAGTAATGGCTAATTATGAAGTCGTGGCCCTATCGAATGCACGGCAGGAGGAGACGGAGGAGAAGAATGATGAGGATTCGGGTGCATTGGGAGGAGGAGGAGGAGGAGGAGGAGGAGGAGGAGGCGGAGAAGGAGGAGGGGGAGGAGGATGACAGCGAGCAGAGAAGACTATGAGATCGGCTCGGCGCGTTCCCACACAAGTTCTGGTGAACTCTAGGTTGGAAGAGGAGGAGGAGGAGGAGGATCCCTCAGACGCCCGAGGAGGTGAGGAAGAGTGGAGAAGAAGTCTCTTCTCCCCTAGTTCCTCCCCAAACCCAGCCCTGCCCTGGCCCTCCCCTACCACCCCCACCCCTCCCCTACCTATCTCCTGCCCCCAAATGGCTGTCCAAAGGCGGCAATGACTTCCAGATCGACCGAAACGTTCGCGTAATCGAATCCATCGGTTTGAACCCCAGCATGAAGCAATGTGCCAGTGATCAGTCAGCAGCTTGGCGGACATGCCACGGCGCGAGCGCGAGCAGTGGGGCGGCCTTGTTCTCGTACAGGAAGTCGGTGACCGTTCTCATGTTGTTCGAGTCCTCGGCGGGCCCCTCCTAGATCTCCTCCTCCCCACTCTCCTCTGCCTCCTGCAAAACCGCCTGAGGCGGACACGAGAGGTTAACCTCCCTCGCCTTAAACAAGGACGATCAGGCGAGAGTGACTCTCCCCTGACCCGACTGCTCCGTCTGGACGGTGTCCCCCGGGGCCGTAGGCGACCCGAGGAGGGGAGGGCGAGGAGGGGGAGGAGGAGGAGGAGGAGGAGGAGGAGGAGGAGGAGGAGGAGGAGGAGGAGGAGAGGAGGGAGGGGAGGAGGGGGAGGGGGAGGAGGGAGGGGGAGGAGGAGAGGAGGGAGGAGGAGGAGGAGGAGGTAGGAGAGGAGGAGGAGGAGGAGGAGGAGGAGGAGGAGGGAGGAGGAGGAGGGAGGATGATGAGGCGGAGGAGGGAGGAAGGAGAAAGGGAGGAGGAGGGAGAAGGAGGAGGGAGGAGGAGGAGGAGGAGGAGGAGGAGGAGGAGGAGAAGAGGAGAAGGGAGAAGGAGGAGGAGGAGGAGGGGGAGGAGGACGGGTCGCATAAGACCTTTGGAGAAACCCTCCACCTCGGTCTCCTCCTCCTACTCATCCTGGGAGTCTCTCCTTCGTCATCTTCCCTCTCCTGCCTCTGCCGAGCAGCCTGATTGGTTGTATGCACGCATCGTCTTGCGCGTGCCGTCCTTGCGAGGGGCCCACGCTTATCTTCTCTAAAGCGTATCTCTCTGCTTTTCGCAAAAGAAATCCATTACACCAGAGAAAACCCCCAACCAGTGGATGGTTTGACATCATTCAATCGATCTCACCAACTGATGACATCCACTGATTGCCATCGATCTCCAGGAACCCAAGAACCCTGAACCCACAGGAATCGGCCCGGAATCAATAACCAATAACCCGGAACCGGGAACCTGGGAACCCAGCCGGCTACCAACATCAGCGAGAAACGTTCGCCAAATCTTTCAATTTCCGCTAGGACCCCTTCAGTGCAGGCATTGATTGAGGAAAAGCCCGATTCCCCCTCCTGCTCCTCCTCCTCCTCCTCCTCCTCCTCCTCCTCCTCCTCCTCCTCCTCTTCCCCTTCTTCCTTTTCGTTCTCGTCCTCCACTCCTCCTCTTCCTCCTCCTGCTGCCCACTCTCCTCGTCTCTCGTGGGATCCAAGGCTCCGGGCGTGACTGCTCACCATGTTGCAGTTTTGCGCGACGTCGGATCTCACGGGGAGCGGGGGGAACCAACCGGCTCCGGTTAGGGCGGACGAGGAGGGGGCGGGATACCAAAGGGGGGGGGGAATCGGATCCGCTGTACGCGGCAAATTGTAATAACGCCAGGGTGGGCGCCAGCCACATGCATCGAGGAACTCTCCAGGCGGCGGGGCCGAGATGCGCTGCATGCAGCAGACTTCGCGACCCCCCCTTTCCGAATCCCCCTGTTCCTCGGGCGCACGAGACCACGGATCGGGGAACAGACCCACCGAAAAATGGCGCCAATGCCGCCCGATGTGGCGACGGAGCGCGCCATTTTCTCTACGGAAGCGGAGAACGTCGCTCACCCACGCGCCTGAACCCGTGCTGGCGCTTCCGCGATTTTTCGTCCGACTGGATCGGAGGGGGCAGGGGAAGGCCGTCGGAATGGGATCGACGGTGCATCGCCGATAGATCGGCGACGAAGCCCCCGACTGCGAAACTGCAGGCTACTCGGCAGGGCGGGCCTTGGCGACAATTGGGCAAATTGAAGCTCGACGCTTCCACCCCTGAACCTGTCCTCCTCCTCCTCCTCCTCCTCCTCCTCCTCCTCCTCCCCCTCCTCCTCCTCCTCCTCCTCCTCCTCCTCCTCCAGAGCTCTTCCTGCTCCTCCTCCCCCTCCTCCTTCTCTTCCTCCTCCACCCCCCCTCCTCCATTCCTTGTGCTTACTGATAACTCCTCCCTGTCGCACCCCGAGGCAAGTTTTTTGGGGCGGGCCGAGCGTTTCGCCTGAGGCTTCCTCACCACGTATGACTCTGAAGCTTAAAAGTTGGCAACAGTTTCACAGATGAAGGGCGGGTGGTTTTCAAAATGTGGCTCTCGCCTAGTGCGGTGCACATTCGGTTCAAACGTTGGCAAAGAGTTTCACGGATTGGGGGCGGGTGGTTTTCAAATGTGGCTCTCGCCTTAGCTCGGCGCATATTCGCTTCAACAGCTTACAAGAGTTTCACGGATTGAGGGCGGGCCGTTTTCAAAATGTGGCTCGCGCCTCAGCGTGGCGCACATTCGTTTCAACAGTTTACAAAGAGTTTCACGGATTGAGGGCGGGTCTTTTTCAAAATGTGGCTCTCGCTTTAGCGCCGCGCACATTCGTTCACAACAGTTGCAAGAGTTTCACTGGCTCCCAGCATTAACATACCAGAAATGATGGTTTAAAAGGATTCAGGATTACGCGGGCGCAACGGTTACGTTGATTCGCTGCGTTGAAGTTCTAGGAATGGCGTTCTGGCACGATTCAGAATCGTCAGGACGCAGCAACCAGGTTCATCCGTGGAGTTGGAATCCCCGGAAAAATGTTTTGGCATGCTTCAGGGTCTTCGAACGGTTGTCTTCGAACGAGGCAGTTCCCTCGATGAAGATTGAGCTTAGAGGGCCTATGAAGAGGGGGCCTATGAAGAGGGAGCTTTGAAGGAGGGTGTATTCCATCATCGCTGGTGACTCTTGGGTTTGCACTGGTCCTCCTCCTCCTCCCCCTCCTCCTCCTCCTCCTCCTCCTCCACCTCCTCCTCACCTCCTCCTCCCCTCCTCCTCCTCCTCCTCCTCCTCCTCCTCCTCCTCCTCCTCCTCCTCCTCCTCCTCCTCCTCCTCTTCCCCCTCCCCCTCCTCCTCCTCCTCCTCCTCCTCCTCCTCCTCCTCCTCCAGGCAGGGCCCGCGTGCGCAAGGCGCTGCGGGCAGTGGCGCAGGTTGAGGGGTGCCGCCGGATCTGGCGCACTGCCAGTCCTCCCAGCTGCGAGGTGGGGCGGCGAGGTCACGGGTTTCACCGACCTGGAGATGCAGCAGCTGCGGGCCCGCGGCGAGGCCCTCCGTGGGCACGCCCACGCCAGCCCCGGCGTGTTCGGCGCCGTCCTGCCGAAGCTCGACCCGCTGGGCGACCTGGCCTCGATGGGGGTCGTGCGCTTCGGTCGCCAAGCACGCGACGGCCTTCGAGTCCCCAAGCTTCGGGGAGAGCTCGATTCTGCGTTTCGGGCCCCAGGAGGTGGGCAGGCTTTTCAATCGAGACGTGCTGGCACTGACGGAGGTTAGAGCTGATGCCGCCGTGCGGACTCGCCTGGGTGACGCCAGGAGTTTGGTGGGTGGGCCTTGGGGCCATGATCGGCAACCGCTACGTCGCGTCGCTGACGCGACACATCCTGCTCTCCACCACGCGCGGGACGTATACATGACGAGGAGCCTCGCGCACAAGTGGGGCTACCTGGTGCAGCCGTTGTGCCCGGACTGCCAGGTGCCCGACACGCCTGCGCATCGCGTCCTGGATTGCACCCGGTTCTGCGCGGGGCGCTTGGAGCAGGGCGACCGCTGGGACGAGGCGCTCGCAGCGTGCCGCTCCTGCGGCAATGAACAGCTGAGGGACCTGCTGCTGCCACTCACGCCGCAGTCTGCAGCTCCGCCCCCTTCCTCGATCCTCCGGGCCTTCCTCGGGGATGAGGAAATCCCGATTTCAGATTCCAAGTGTGTTCCGAGCGAGCCCGTGGCTGAAGATATGTCGGCTTCGGCCTCGCCTCTCGAGCGGTGCAATGGGAGCGGGCAGTGGGGGCGGGCAATGGGAGCGGTCCACGGGGCAGTGCATGGGGCTGGCAGGGGGGCTTCGGGGCGGTGCAGTGGGAGCGGGCCACGGGCAAGCTCCTGCGCGTCATGGGGGCACTTCCCCCCGTGTCTGCCCAGACGGCCGTGGCTGCCGAGCACGCGGCGCGCGAATCTGGGGCGCGCTTCAGCGATGGCACGTGTAGCTACGTATATGGGCGACCGTAGTGCAGTGCTCTCTGTGGGCCGTCTGGGGGTCGTCACAGGCGCAGCACCGAGAGGGCGAGTTGCCAGTGCTTGGAGGAGCGCTGCTCGGCAAGATGGGGCGTGTCAGGAGCTCCTCAAGCAGAAGGCCCACGTCGAGGTCCCACAGAGCCCGAGACCGCGGCCGAGTGGCGAGCCGGGTTAAACGACCAGGGCGACCAAGCGGCGAAGGTTGCTTGCAAGCTGCATGATGTGCATGACCCCACCCTTGTCTTCCTAGAAGACCAATTGGCCCGTGTAAAGAAGTTCCTGTATGCTGCTTCCCGTGTGCTCGAGTCTGGGCCAGCCGCTCGAGATGAATGGAAATCCATGCAGCGGGCCACCCCTCGCGAGGTCCCAGCCTGCAGGGTTGCGCAGGAATTTCTTCGGGTCGGCCCGTCCCGGTGGCAGTGCAAGCGATGTTTGAGGTCGAAGGTGGCCCCATCCAGTGCTCCTGATCGGAAGGACTGCTGACCAGAGGAGGCGCCGCAGAGTTTCCACTCACGATATCGAGTGGTGTGAACCGACCCCGATCCCAAAGGCCGAGATCTTTGTTTTGCAAGCGGTGCTGCCAATATGCGACCACGAAGCCCCTGGGGCTTGGCAAAGCCTGTCCTGGCTTTGGCGTCGTGGGCTGGCGGCGTAATGCAGCGGCGCAGCACAAGATGCGCCGCTTTTTGCAACTCAAGCACCCGAAGTGTGGCAATGAGGACCGTATAGTCGCACATTGGCCCTGTTTGGAACAGGTTTACAGAGCTCGCAAAGCCCCCGAACCCCTGCAAGCGTAGGGCTGATCGCCGTTGTCTGGCCACCCCGCCAAAACCCAGTGTATTAGTGTACTTGGAGAACAAATCCTCCTCCTCCTCCTCGTCCTCCTCGTCCTCCTCCTCCTCCTCCTCCTCCTCCTCCTCCTCCTCCTCCTCCTCCTCCTCTTTCGCCCCCCGAGGGGGCGAGAGCAGCCGCCCGGCGCCGCAAGGGAGGAGGAGGAGGAGAAGGAGGAGGAGGGGGGAGGCGGCGGCGTGTCCGACGAGGTCGCCACCGCCACCCGGGTCAGGTGCGTGGTGACGCTGGAGGCGATGTAGACGGCAACCTCGGGGAGGGGAGGGAGGGAGGGAGAGGGAGGGAGGGAGGGAGGGGATGCTGATGCTGATGATGGTGATGGTGATGATGATGATGATGATGATGATGATGATGATGGTGATGATGATGTTGATGATGACGATGACGATGATGATGGTGATGATGGTGATGATGATGATGATGCTGATGATGTTGATGATAATGGTGATGATGATGATGATGCTGGTGATGACGCTGATGATGTTGATGCTGGTGATGACGATGATGATGCTGATGATGATGCTGCTGACGATGATGGGGATGATGATGATGCTCATAATGATGATGATGATGATGATGATGATGATGATGATGATGATGATGATGATGATGATGATGAAGATGAAGATGAAGATGAAGATGATGATGATGATGATGATGATGATGATGATGATGATGATGATGATGATTGATGATGATGATGATGATGATGATGATGATGATGATCATGATGATGCTGATGATGATGATGATGATGATAATGATGATGATGATGATCATCATCATCATGATCATGATGATGATGATGAGAAGAAGAAGAAGAAGAAGAAGGAGGACGACGAGGATCAGGAGCATGTCCATCTTCTTGGCACAGGACTTTTGCACAGTCCCTCCTGGCTGACCAGCAGGAGGGGACGAAGAGCAGGAGAAGGAAGCCAGTTTGACGGCAACCTCTGGCGCCCCGCGCGAGCGCCCGGACGCGCAGGAGCAGAAGAACTGAGCAGACAAGGTCCGCGCGGACTTCGACCAACGCACATTCGGCGAAGACTCCAATGGCTCCCGCTGGGCTAGGGCCCAGGAAGAAACGTGTGACGAAGGGCGAAGGCGCCTCTGCAACCGCCGCCAGCACTGCCACCTCCAAGAGAAACACCGGCAGCACGTCAAGCCCATGGCTGAGAAACCATGGGAGACGAGCAGAAAACGCCCGACGAGTGGCTACCACCCCCCCCCCCCAGTGGCAAACATGGCAAGCCCGCTCTCGCAGCGTAACCCGCCCTTGGAGAACCGAGACAGCTCGCGCCAGATGAGGGACAAGCCCTCTCCGTCCTCCAGGTCGGCCGCTGCAGCCCAACACTGACACCCATATAGTCCGAACGAGTCGCCCAAAACTTCCGAAACCTCCATCGGGAGGGCCGTTGTTTTCATCCTGGCAATCCCACGCCAACATTGTCAGAGTTCGCGGCAAGGTGGTCGAGGATACCCTCGAGGAGTTCGAAAAACTAGCGTGACATGGTGGTCAAGCAGCCACCGACCCAGATCCGGCTCGGTGAATCTTGAGACGGACCAATCCCCCGCCATTCCCTGGAGGGTGCGGCGCCGACAGCGGGAAGCTTCTGCGGGCCCCCATCCAGCGTCCCAAAATCGCGGCGACCTAGGGCCCTCAACCTCGCGCCACCTGTCACGACCAGCGCGCCTGGGGAGACGAAGAGATCCCCCCAAGCCTGCCCGATCCTGGCACGATGCTGAGGGCGCTTCTGCCAGGAAACTAAGAGCGCCGAGACCAGCTGCCTGCGAAGCTCCACCCCAAGATCCTTCAACCCGACATTGGCTCCCAAAACCGTGGTCAGGCAACGCCCCGAGAGCTTGCCGCGGGCCGAAAAGGCCGCTCGCCTGCGCAACGCAAGCATTCTGCTAGGAGGCAATCCCTGCACCTGGTGAGCATAAGTGCCCTGAGGAAGCGCCCCCGTGGACCAGGGCCCCTGGGCAACCTTCTTCAACGAAGCGTTACACCTCGGCCTGCGACGAAGCCTGAAGCGCGCAGCCTCGAGTGGCGCTCTGGACTTGGCCGCGGCGCGGAACCTACCGGCACTGATATCGACCCCGAGATCGACCCCCGTCAGGCAAATGCGACAGGGGTACCGCGTTCCTTGAGGAGGTCAGCAGCTCCCCCGCCGAGCTGAAGAGACGAAGACATCAGCGCAGACTTGCTGGAAACAACTAGTCGGCCCCAGGAAACCTCCCCGCGGAAAACAGCGGACGACTCGACTACGCCCTGCTCGACTCTGGCTTCAGTGCCTTTCACGCGCCGCACTGCCTTTCAGCGCCCGAGGAGCGCCAACATTTATATCTATAACTGAAGGGGCCCCAGGACACACAAATAAATACACACAAATAAAAATATTCCCCATACTTTCTCATATTTTCTGGGTTTCTGTTTCCCCCTCACTTCCCATATTTTCCAATATTTTCCTTGGAATCGAGGATTAATTGTGTCTGTGTGTTTCTTTTCCTCTTGAATAACATGTTGTCTTCTTCGATGCACTCCGCGAGGTCCAGCTGCTTCGGAGGCATCGGCCGCCCTCCCCCAAGGAGGCTCCGCACTCAGGCGCGCAGCGCTCCACGCAGCGCTCCCCGCGGGGGAACTGTCGTCGTCGCCGCCCGTCCAGCTGGAGATAACATGGCCGGCCGAGGTGCTGCCAGCCGAGCACCACCCTGAAGGGGCCCCAGGACATACAAATAGATACACACAAATAAAGATGCTCCCCGTATTTCCCCATACTTTCTGGGTTTCTGTCTTCCCCCCCACTTCCCATAGTTTCCCATATGTTCTGGGAGTCGACGATTAATTGTGTCTGTGTGCTCCTCCTTACATCCTGACATCAGCACGGGTAGCGCGAAGAGCTGCCGCGCCGACTGGTGTCAAAGAGGCGCTGACACCCCTGCCAGCTCGCGAAGAAGGGCACCCTCCAGGTAGGAGCACCACCTCGAACGCGCACTGGCGGGATTCCTCACATCCGAACGGGAGGGACAGGCGCGATGCGACTCGACTCCGAAACCTGCCCGATCCTGAACCCAGCGTCCCCCAGAGAACTGGGTCCTGAATCGATGTACTGACTGAGAATTTCCCACGAACAGCGGTTACGGTCGGACCTAGGACAGAAGAACATCCTTCAAGAACATGAGACCCTCCACTGGACAAAAACCCACAGAACATGCAAGGGTACCCTCCCCAGGATGCAGAAGAACATCCAACGAGCGCAAAGAAAATTAGGGTACCCTCCACGAACCGACCTCGATCTCATATCTCGGTCCGACCGTAAGTACTGACTTAGGCTTTCCCGCGAACGGCAGTAGTGCTCATCGCCAAACCTCGGCCTCCTCGCGGTCCACCAGGCGCAGGAGCGAACAGGAGAGCAGTCTGGAGACGCAGGAGGGAGGAGCAGGAGCAGGAATGACAATGCTCGACTTCTCGCGTTATCCCTGAGTTGGCAAGTACGCTCCTCTCCCTCGCCCCACAGACCGCTACAGCCGCACTGGCTTGAGCTCGCGCCGCGAGGAGGCACAGGAGAAAGAGGCTATGATCGGAAGCGGCCGGTGGGACCGGAAAGGAAACTGCCGGCCAGGCCGCGGCGTCTGCGACCGCACGCGCCGGTCGCCCCGCGTGCGGGTTTCGTCCCCGCCCACAATTCCTCCGCGACCCTCCTGCCAGGCCCTGGTCCTCCTCCTCCTCCTCCTCCTCCTCCTCCTCCTCCTCGATCCTCCCCGCGCATCCTGCGCGTCCGCTGCACGCCCTCCTGGAGGCCTCCCAAAGGGGGTCCGATTAGATGGGCACGGGAGAGCGCAGCGCATCGCTGATGCATTGGCGATGCAACGGCGACCTCGGCGATGCATCGGCGACCTTGGAGAACATCGATATCCACATCGAGCCTTAGGTCGGGCATGTCCACCTACAGGCGGATTTCGGACGACAAATATAAAGAGTGGTCAAAACATACAAAACAAATGTCAAACAAAACCCAAAATTCGTCGCCTTTTTGAATACTGCTCCTGTAGAGGGACACGCCGGCCTCAAATCGAGCCGCATCGCCGACGCACAAACGGTGCGGCGCGAGCCACCGACCCCACCTGCTCGGGTCCCCAACCTGGGAGGCCGGGGCTCCCTCTCTCTCCCTGTGCTGCGTCCCAGCTCCGGACTGCACAGCCGCCCGAGATCGGTACAAAAAATGGGTAACGCTCAACCGCAAAAAATGCTGCCCAAAAGCCGACAGCGGCCGCTGTGGGACAAGCGGCACTGGAAACGAGTCCTGCTCACGATGAGCAGGAGCTGGTGCCGGTGTTCGTCCCCGCTCTCTGTGTACCCAGTCCGTCCGTGCCGAGCCTGGAGCTCAAGGCTGAGGGCAACGATGGGGGGCACTGGAAGAAGGGGGTAAGCAGCGACCTGGGATCGGCGATGGCCCCCCGATAGCGGATCCGCACCCTCCTGGACGGGTTGGGGCTATAGGGTCCCTCATCGACGATAAGTGGGCGATTGGGGGTCGATGTCTCAGACCCCCCCGCTATCGTTGGGCCAGGAAGAGAAGAACAAACAACTGCACAACATCAACTTTTGGCGCTCCGCGCGGATCCCTTGGATCGCGCTGGGCCCCCCTTCCCTGGCGCGCGGAGCGCGGCAGGGGCGGCGCCGGGGGTGGCACAACGCAGATCCGGGAAACCGCGCGCAGCGCCAACAGTTTAGGTTATTGCCGCTTCTGTCTTCGATGAAACGCGGGGGGCCCGGGGGGGGCGGGACGGGGGGGCGCTCGCCACGAACGCGAACACCAGCACCACGATGTTAAACACGCGCTCCTCCGCCGGCCGCCGGTCTCCCGCCAGCGCCCAGCCGGCCCACGACCGATGGAAGAACTCGAGGCAGCTCCGCGGAAGCCGGGGGGGCGAGAGGCAGGAGGGGGAGAGGGGGGCATTAGGAGGAAGACTACAGGAGGAGGGAGAGGAGGGGAGGGGAGCAGGAGGGAGAGGAGGGGAGCATCACGAGGAGGGCGACGGAAGCAGGAGGGAGAGGACAACAACAGGAGGGTGAGAAGACCGCGGCAAAGGCGCAAGTCAACATCGGGGGCAGAGGTGCCATGGGCCCCTGGGCGTGGGTGGTGGGAGGGCGCCGCCGTTCTTCCCCCAGGCCCCCCCTGCTCCCACTCCCAGCCTCCCTTGAGTAATCTGCCCTCCCCGTCTCCCTCCCTCGCTTTCCCTCCATCCTCTCACTCCCTCCCTCCCTTCCTCCCTCCCTCCCTCCCCGCCCACCGCCCACCCTTGTTCACCACCACTCTCTCCCCTTCCATTCCCTTACCCGCCCTTCCCGTTCCCTCTCCGTCACCCCCACAGAACACTCCCCCATACCCACTTCCCCTCTCAAAACTCCGTCCTCCCTTTCCCCTCCTCTTTCTGCTTATCCTTCTTTCTCCCTCCCCCTCCCTGTATTCCTCGCTACACCACCCCTCCCTCCCCATGTGTGGAGATACGAAGGCAGCCGAGCCAAAAATCTGGGCCCAGGGCCGGAAGGTCAGCGCCGAAGTCGATCATCTCGGTCCCACATTGGGCCCGCCTCCTCTCTCCGTCCTCCCGCCCCCGTTTTCTTCCCCCCCTCGTCGCAGAGCCTGGCCCTGTCAGCCCTCCCCGCCTCCCCCTCCCTCGCCTCCCCCTCCCTCGTCAGCCCTCCCTCCTCGCCCCCCCCCGCTCCCCTTCTCCACATCCCCCCCTCCCTCCCCCTCCTCGCCGCGGCTCGTGCCACGGTGGCCCCCAGGGGGTCCCCCCCCCCAAGACCAAAAGTCAATAATAATATTGTGTATATATATATACATATATCTGTATATATATATATAAAAGAAGAACAAATCTCGCCACGGCGGCCCCCGTGGCCCCCCCAAAAATGCCTCCCGCCGCCAACGCCGCGACTCGGAACGCCCGCCGTGTGCCGCGTCCGCGCCGCCCTCGAGGAGGGGGGAGGAGGAGAGAAGAGAGGGGGAGGAGGAGGAGGAGGAGGAGGAGGAGGAGGAGGAGGAGGAGGAGGAGGAGGAGGAGGAGGAGGAGGAGGAGGAGGGGAGGAGGAGGGAGGGGGAGGAGGCGGAGGAGGAGGAGGAGGAGGAGGAGGAGGAGGAGGAGGAGGAGGAGGAGGAGGACCAGTGTAAACCCAAGAGTCATCCACGAGGGTCGGATAAACCCTCCCTCCACGATCCATCTTCCTAGGCCCCTACAACGGTTCATTTCCATTGAGGGAACTGCCTCGCTGGAAGACAACCGTTCGAAGAGCCTGAAGCATGCCAAAACATTGTTCTCGGGATTCCAACGCCACGGATCAACCTGACTCTTGTGTTTTGACGATCCTGAATCGTGCCAGAACGCCGTTCTTGGGACTTCAAAACCACGAACGAACATAACAGTTGCACCCTAATCATCCTGAATCCTTACAAAATACCATGTCTGGTACTTTGATCATGGGAATTCGTGAAAATCTTGCAAGTGACTAAAATGGATGTGTGCGGCGCAAGGCGGGAGCCACATTTTGAAAAGGAACCGCCCTCAATCAATGAAACTCTTGCAAATGTCTCGAATGTGCGCGGCGCTAAAGCGAGAGCCACAATTTGAAAACGGGTTCCCCTCAATCCGTGAAAATCCCACAAAAAGATAAACGAATGTGACCGGCGCTAAGGCGAGAACCACATGTTGAAAACCACCCGCCCTCCATCCGTGAACCTGTTGCCAATTCTGAAGCATCAGGCTCAATAATGGTGAGGAAGTCTCAGGCGAAACGCCCAGCCCGCCCTAACAACGGGTCTCGGGATGCGACAGGGAGCAATTCCATATATATATATACATATATATATAATATACATGAATATAAAAAGAAATGTAAGAGGAGGAGGACGAGGAGGAAGAGGAGAAGGAGGAGGGAGGAGGCGAAGACGGGGGAGGAGGAAGAGGAGGAGGAGGCGCAGGAGGAGGAGGAGGAGGCGGACGAGGAGAAGAAGGACGAAGTAGGAGGGGAGAGGACGAGAAGGAAGAAGAGAGAAAGGAGGAGGCGGAGGAGGAGGCGGAGGAGGAGGAGGAGGAGGAAGAGGAGGAGGAGGGGGAGAAGGAGGAGGAGGAGGAGGAGGTGGAGGAGGAGGAGGAGGAAGGAGGAGGCGGAGACGGAGGGAGGAGCGCGCAGGAGGAGGAGGAGGCGAGAGGGAGGAGGAGGAGAGGAGGAGGAGAAGGAAGGAGGGGAGAAGAGGAGGAGGAGGAGGAGGAGGAGGAGGATGAAGAGGAGGAGGAGGACGGAGGAGGAGGCGGAGGAGCAGGCGGAAGAGAAGAGGAGGAGGAGAAGAGGATGAGGAAGGAGGATGAAAGAGGAGGGAAGAGGAGGGGGAGGAGGAAAGAGGAAGGAGGAAGGCCCCCCCCTCCTCGGTGTTCACCGGGTGCACCTCCATGCCCCCGACCCCGAACTGCGTGAGGCTGCAGCGGGGGCGCACCGGGAGGGGGAGAGCGCCGGCCGCTGCCGCACCGGCGGCGCTGCCCTGGCCAGCATACTCGGAGCGCGGCGACCACCACGTCGATACCGGCGGCGGCGCGGACCACGGCCGCGGCCACAGCGGCGAGGGCCACGGCGGCGGCACGCAGGGGCGCGAGGGAGGAGCGGAGAAGCAGGAGGGGAGGGAGAGCAGGAGGGGAGGAGGAGCAGCAGGGGCACGAAGGCCACGAACGACACTCTTTCCGGCCAGCAGGGATCAGGAATCAGCGGGAGCGGGAACAGCAGCACGACGACGACGAGTAGAAGGTCAACCGCGGAGGAGGAGGAGGAGGAGGAGGAGGAGGAGGAGGAGGAGGAGGAGCGACAGCAGCAAAATGACGACGAAGAGGCCGAGACCGTGGCCCGCCACGGACTCTGGGGCCGAGATGGGCTGGAAGCGTCGCCACTCGGGCGCCCTGTCCGTGCGGGTGGCCTTGGGGCCCTGCGAAGACTGGGCGGCACCCGGTAGTCATACAGTGTGTTGGTGGGCCTGTTCTCAACCACCACCACCATAAGTTGGACGGGGAGGTGGTCCTCCTCCTCCTCCTCCGCCTCCTCTTCCTCCTCCTCCTCCTCCTCCTCCTCCTCCTCTTCGTCCTCCTCCTCCTCGTCCCCCCCTTCCTCCCCCCCATCCAACTTATAGTGGTGGTGGTGGTGGAAAGTAGGCCCATCATGTGCGTTGCGACGTGGAACAAGATCATGAGCAAGGAAGCATGCATGGGAGGCAGAGAAGCACACTGGTACTAGACGTCGCCCTTGGAGGCGCGCGTCCGTCCCCAACCTACAGTGAACCCATGTTGTGGTAAATCGTTTCCCGAGCGGTGTGGCCAGAAGGCGCCCTGCCACGACTCATATACTATAAGATTTCTCGGTGCGCGCGTCGCCCCTGGGGGGGGCGACGCACACATAGTATGAGTATGTTGGGGTGACGCCGAAAGCAAACCGAGTACGGACAGCGCGCGTCGCATGCTGCCACGTGCCCCCAAACAGGGCTCGACCGATGGCAGCGGTGGCTCCCCTCTCACCGCTTACAAAACTAAACGTGATCATTTTCCAGCCGTGCCCAATTATTCAGGATCTGCGCTGCCGCGATCCACGAGGAAACGCCAACAGGCCTCCCTGCGATGCCGGTGAAAAACCTGCCAAGGCTATCGCACCACCGTGTAAACGGCCGCGCCTGGGCTCTGCAACCTGTCACGAAAGAATACACAATCTTTTTCGTCCACCGGCCGTAATTCCGACGAGCAACATGTCCTGCCCACTGGAATTCTCGTTTTGAAACCTCTTCAATCCAATTGCACTCGCCGTGTTCCCGACTGACCTTGGCCGCTGTGCGCGTCGATCGTATGATCCAGCCAAGCCATCATTCCAAACTCTTCCCGCCAGCCGAATCAGTAACAGCATGCCAGCGACTAATCGCTCGCGCTTCGAAACCAATGACAACGACGAGCAACCATACAGAAAAGCAGGCTTGACGACAGAAGTAAAAAGTCGCAAACACTGCGATAAGCAAACAGCACCGGTCAGTCCGTTCGCCCCGATACACTGAGCATTTCGCCCAAGCTTTCTCAACCCGATCACAAAGAAAAACGCAGGCTTGGGCGAACACGATTTAGACGCTGATCTGATTACCACTTTGGGCTCAAGACAGGCTCAGGTGCTCGCGCGATTTCTATGATCTAAGTCGGGAAACGCCAAGGCTCCCCGTTCCTCAAGGTAGCGCGATGGCGGCACAACTGGTTGGCATGATCGACATCATCACTTTCGGAGTCAGAGAGCCAAAACAAAGCCACACAGTACAAAAACACTGGTCGCGTCATCAGCAGGATGGCGGCCGCCCTCAAAGACCACACCCTGCGCACTCTATACGATGCCGAGAATATGCCACGCCTGTAGTGCCCTGGACGACCGTCTCGGATAGCGGCCGCATTCAAAGACCGCCCCCTGCGCACCTCTTTTTTTGGTGTCGAGAATATGTCACGTATGCTGCGCAATGAACGGTCGGCACGAATAGTACCCGCTCTCAAAAACCACACTTTGAGCACTGTTCATGGCGTCGAGAATATGCCACGCCTGCGATGCCCTGAACGACCGTCATGGATATCGGCCGCACTCAGCGACCGCCCCCTGCGCACCCCTTATGGTGTCGAGAATATGCCACGCCTGCTCTGCGCTGAACGACCGTCACGGATAGCGGCCGCGCTCAAAGACCATTCCGTGCGCATGCCCTACGACGTCGAGAATATGCCGTGCCTGCTATGCCCTGGACGAACGTCACGGATAGCGACCGCGTGAAACACCCCATGTGCACCCCCTACGACGTCGAGAATATGCCACGCCTGCGATGCCCTGGCCGACCGTCACGGATAGCGGCCGCGGTCAGAAGCCACCCCCTGCGCATCCACTATGAATGTGCCAGGCCTGCTATGCGCTGGACGACCGTCACCGATAGCGGCCGCGAACAGAAACCACCCCGTGCGCACACCCCTTGGTATCGAGAATATGTCACTCCTATGGGTGCCCAGTATGTGGTCCGAACGTATGGGGCGTATGAGGAAATCAAAACGCAAAGTCTGCACCAGCGCCATATGGTGTGTGCGCGCGGCTAGAGGTACGTGTACGTATGATGTATTGAACGCGTTAATCGCATCCCTTTTCCTGCCTGCGTGCAGAACATGCGTATGTGTGTATGCGCGTGCGCGTGTGTGTATGAGTGTGTAAGTGTGTTGGTGTGTGAGAGCGTAAGTTTTTAAGAGTGGAAGTGTGTAATTGTGTATGTGAGTGAGCATGAAAAAGCGTATGTGCGTAAGGTGTGCAAGCGTGTACGTGGCTAAGTGTGTAAGCGTGTACGTTTGTGAAAGTGTGTAAGTGTGTAATCGTCTGGGTGGGCAGGTGTGTACGAGTGTAGGTGTGTAAGTGTGTAGGTGTGCATGTGTGTATATTTGTAGGTATGTGGGTGCGCGAACGACTAAGTGTGCAAATATGTAAGTGTGAACGTGTGTACGCGTGTGTGCATGTAAGCGTCTGGATGTGTGAAAATGTGACTGAAAAGTCGACTAGCTGTGTACATGTGTAAATGTCGAGTGTGAACCCGTGCAAATGCGTGAGAGCGTGTGTGAATGTGTGGGCGTTCAAGTGTGTGCGTGTGTATGAAAATATGTAAGTGCGTACGTGTGTAAGTGTGTAAGTGTGTGGATTTGAGAAAGCGCGTAAGTATGGCAATGTGAAAGTGTGAAAACGTGAAAGTGCGACGGTGTGTAAGTGTGTAAACCTGTACGCATGTAAGTTGTAGGCGCGTGAATATGTGAGTGCGTAGGTGTGTAGGTGTGTACGTGAGTAGCTGGGTAAGTGCATACGTGTGTAAGCCCATACGTGTGTAAGTGTGTAAGTGTGAGAATGTGCCAATGAAATGCGTAAATGCGTGAGTGTGAAAGCATGTGAATGCGGGAATGTGTAAGTGTGCAACTTGTCAGTGCGTAAATGGGCAAGTGTAGGTGTAAACGCGTGCGAGTGTGAGGTTGTGTAAATATATAGATGTGTATGTATGTGGGTGTAAAATTGTGTAAGTGTGTAAGTAGGTACGTGGGTAGATGTGTGAAGCTGTGGAGGCGTAAGTCTGCAAGTGCGTAAGTGTGGAAGGGTGTAGCGGTGTAGGTCCGTAAGTGTGCGAGTGTGTAGGAGCGTAGGTGCTTAAGTGTGTACATGCGAAGGCGTGTAAGCGTGTGTAAATGTGCGATTGCGCAAAGGCGTAGGTGTGAAAGTGTGTAAACGCGTGAAACAGTGCGCCTGGCTGTGTAAGCGCGTAAGTGTGAAAGTGTGCGAGTGTGTGAGTCCGAAGGTGTGTGGGCGCGTGAACGTAATAGTGCGTATGCGTGTAAGTGTGCAGCTGTGTAAATGTGTATATGTGTAAATACGAAAGTATGTAAGCGTGTAAATGTGCACGTGCGTGGATATGTGAATGCGTAATTGTGCAGCTGTGTGAACGTGTGTAAGCGCGCAGGTGTGAAAATGTGAAACTGTGTGAGTGCGTAATTGCGTACGTGTGTAATGATGTACGCGCTGACTTCTGTTGGTGTGTAAGCATGTAAGTGTAAGAGCGTAGGTGTGTAAGTTTGTGGGTGTGTAAGCGCGTAACTGTATAATTCTGGAAATGTGTAAATATTTGAATGTGCAACTGCTTGAATATGTAGATGTGTACGTGTGTGCATGCGTAAATGCGTTAGTGTGTAAAAGTGATAATGCGTCAAATTGTAAATGTGTGGGTGTGTACGTGTGTAAGTACGTAAATGTCAAGGTGCTCTGTGTGTAAAGCTGCAAGTGTGTAAGCGTGTATACTTGTAAGTGTGTAAGTGTGTGAGTGTGTGGGTGTCTAGGTGTGTAAGTGTGGAGGCGTAAAAAGTGCTTAGGTGTGTAATTGCGTATCTGTGTTAGTGCGTAAGTGTGTGATTGTGAAGTGTGCAAATGTGTGTGAGTGAATGAGCATGTAGGTGTTTAAGTGTGTAGTTGCGTAAGTGTGTGTGAGTGTTTAGGTGTGTACATGTGCAAGAAGTGTGCAAGGCTGTAAGTGTCTAAATGTGTCGGTGTGTAAGTGCGTACGCGTGTAAGTGTGCAGCGGTGTAAATGTGTGCGTGCGTGTGACTGCGTGTGTACGTGCGCGCGCGTGTGAAAGCGTGCAACTGCGTACGTGCGTGAATGAGTGAGTGCAAGTGTGTGTGTGTGTGTGCTTACGTGTGTGATTGTCTAAAGCTGTAAGTGCGTAAGTGCATAAATGTGTAAGTGTGTAAGTATGTACGCGTGTAAGTGTGAGTGTGTACGTGTGAAGTGTGTAAGTTTGTAAGTGTTCAACTGTGTACGTGCGCAGGAGTGTAAATGCGTAAGTGCGTAAGTTGTGAAGCGCGTGTGTGCGTCATTTGGTGTGCGGCTGTACGCGTGGATCTTCACGCCGATGTGATGGGTATGACGTGTGCATCCGTATGGCGACGAGCTGGAAGTAGGAGGGTGAAGTGTGCGTGCGCTTGTGTGTGAGAGACGCGGGTGCGACGCGGGAGGGAAGAAAACAAAAAACCAACGAGGCGTGTGGGGAAAAAACGTTGTGTGGTGCCCCCTCTGGCTGGTGGTGGTGGCCCCCCTGCCTCACTTCCCTTTCCTAGCAGGAGGGCCAGGAAGCGCGACAGGAAGGCGGCCTCCAGTGGTAGGAGGTAGTGTACCGGTACGACAAGGACTTCCCCACGAAGTTGTTCTCAGGGTCCTGGGCGCGGCAAGCAGATAATGGTGGGGAGGACGAGGACGGGGAGGTCAGAGGGGGGAGAGGGACGAGTCCGCGGCGAGCCCAGGGGGAAAACGAGAAGGGGCGGGCCTTCTGCGAGGTCGCGGAGGTCCCCCGGCCTTCTGAGAAGTTGTCTGTGCGTTCCCCGAAGACACAAAAAAATTCTCAGGAGGCCGGAGGCCTTCTGAGAAGCCCCGCCGCCTTCTGAGAAGGCCTTTTTCTCACGGCCCCCCCTCGCCAACCGCCGAATGAGTGGGGGAGGATGAGGCCGAGGCAATCTGTGGCTGCACTGGTTGCCCCACCGTTTTGAACTCATTTCAGTGTCTGAAATCACTCTTGGGCAACCTGACGTGAGGGGCAACGATAAGGGGGGACTGGCATAGGGGGGGATGCATCGACCCTGAATCGGCGATACATCGCCGATAGATCGACGATAGGCCTCAAACAGTGACTCCGCACCTTCCTGGGCGGGTTGGGGCTATCGGGCCCCTATCGGCGATCAGTGGGCGATTGGGGGTCGATGCCTCCCCCCCACCGAGGTGAAGAAAAATCGCCAAAAGCAAAAACTTGTTGCGCTCCGCGTGGATTTCTTGGATCCGCGCTGGACCCCCCTCTATGGCGCACGGAGCGCGCCAGGGGCGGCGCCGGAGGCCAAGTTTATGTTTACGACGTTTTTTCTCCTTCGACCTATGCCTGTCCCCCCCTATCGTTGCCCCCGACGGAGGAGGAGGAGGAGGAGGAGGAGGAGGAGGAGGAGGAGGAGGAGGAGGAGGGGTAGGAGGAGGAGGAGGAGGGGTCGATGCATCCCCCCCTATGCCTATCCCCCCCTATCGTTGCCCCTGATGACAACTTGCCTCCCCGCCCCCTGCCCCCTCCAGGGCGCCGCTTTGCTCTGCGCCGCCCTCCCGCGCTCGTGCCCTGCTCGGACAACGCGCGCGCGCCCATCATTATTACCGTCGCCCCGCCTGCCTCTCGGGGGCCGCCGGAATGGCGTAAGCCTTTCCATCGGGGGAGGAGGAGGAGGAGGAGGAGGAGGAGGAGGAGAAGGAGGAGAGGGAGGAGGAGGAGGAGGAGGAGAGGGAGGAGGAGGTGGAGGAGGAGGAGGAGGAGGAAGAGGAATGCGAGGAATGCGAGCATGAAAGACAGCAGAAGTCTAAAACACTGAACGGATTAATCTGACCCCGACTCGGAGCCCTGATCACCTCCGCCGTTGCTGCCACCGCGGGCAGCCTCCAAAAGGCGGAGGGACTGGGACACAACTCTGAGCTCCTGGGCCTGGCGAATCTCCTCCTAGGAGGAGGAGGACAAGGAGGAGGAGGAGGAGGAGGAAGAAGACAAGGGAGGAGGACAAGGGAGGAGGAAGGGAGGGGAAGCTGGGGAGAGGGAGGGGGGAGGAGGGGAGAGGATTGGGAGAGGTGGGCGGAGGGGCGGAGGCGCGGCACGCAGCGTGAGAGGGGTGAGCCCGCACAAAATGGGGTGCGGTGGGGGGGCCGAAACTCGTGGGGTCGCCAAGACAAGAGCGATACGCTGAGCGGCCGCCCTCACTGGGGCCCCAGCTGGGGCCTCCCTCTCGTGTGGCACGCCGAAGCGGTGGGGATGCAGCGTGCGGGCGTCACCGCCCTCGCTGGTGCCCTGCTTGGGGCCGCGTGGCACGAGACGTGGGGATGTACGCTGCGCACGCCCTCGCTGCACCGGGGCCCTCCTGTGGGGTACGGTCGGTCCGGGGTGTCCCCCCCTTGCCCACTGACGTGGGCCCGGAAGTGCGGTGGCCGCAGTCTCCTCCTCGGCCGCGCGCTGCCCTTCTGGGGCTTTTCTGAAGTGATTCCGCCCCAGGGTGGTCACGAGGCTGCTCTTGGGCGGCGTCTCTTTTACCACATACTACTTTTCTCGGCCGTCGGCCGAGGGCGTCTAGGCCTTTAGGCAGCCTGTCGCCATGAGCCACAACGGGGAGGTGCACCGAAACCGCAGGGATGAAGTGTGCATCCGCCCTCGCCGGTGCCCTGGCCTGGGCCCCCCCTGCACGGCACAGAACGTCTGGGAGGTGTCAATTGGGCGGCGACGACGACGACGACGACGACGACGACGACGACGACGACGACGACGACGGCGGGGAGGGAAGGGGAAGAGAGGGATGCGATCGGGGAGACGTTGCCGGCGGCCAGTTGAGCAAGAGGGCCCGACGACGCGGAGACGGTCGGGGAAAAAACATCACGGGAACGGCGGCGGGCAGGGAGCGAGAAAAGGCACGAGGGCCGGAGGCGAGGCGCGCGCGCGCGATGCGCAACCTGCCACGGAGAGCCAACGGCGCAGAGACGGTTCGGGAACGGAAAACCGCGGGAATGCACAGCCGAGCACAGCGCGGGCCAGAAAGAGGTGGCGTTGCAAGCAAAAGTGGAGGAGCCATGGACGAGGTGTCCGATTTCTCTGGGCATCGTCCTTTTTCAAGCCTCTTTCATCCTCCCCACTCTCTTCAGATGTTCCAGCGCGTTCAGACCAAGACTTCGAGGCGGTTCCAAATCCAACCGTGGCGGCGCCCCAACAAAGTTTCAGACGTCCCCTCCCACCTCGTCCATGGCTCCTCCTCCTCCTCCTCCTCCTCCTCCCTCCCCCTCTCCCCTCCTCCTCCTCCTCCTCCTCCTCCTCTTACTCCTCCTCCTCCTCCTCCTCCTCCTCCTCCTCCTCCTCCTCCTCCTCCTCCTCCTCCTCCTCCTCTGCGTCCGTAGCCATTTTGGCTCAAGGCTATGCGTTGGCGGGCGGAGCCCGCATTGGCAAAACTGGATACCGCTAGTCCGCGGCAGCTTTCATCCTTTACGGAGGTCCCTCGTTCCCCAGTGCGCGACCAGCGGCTCCTATCGGAGTGCGTATCTGGGGCGAGGGGTTCACTAGCCTCCTCACTGTCGAGCCCATGGTCAAGGCAAATGGGTTCGTCAAATGCGTGTCATTTGGATACAAGTAGACGTGCAAAGGCCGCAAGGAGTGCATCAATTGCGGCAAGCAGATGGAGCTTGGAGGGCCGCCACCGCCGTGGCGGACAGGACCATCAGCATCGGAGCCATCACGGGGAGTCTGGGACAACCGCAACCAGGAAGCACCTTGTGGAGAGCAGCGTGATGGCGGCTGGAAGGAGTGGAGCGAATGGCCTAAGTCACGCCGTCAACGCAAGAAAGGCGATGCGTTGGGTGACGAGCACAAGCAGGAGGTCCAGACGCCTGAGCAGCTACTCAAGGCTCTGCAGGAGGCGGCTCAGCATCTCGACCCGTCAGCGATCGAGGGGCTCAAGCAGCAGTTGCCACCGCCAGTGGTGCAAAGGGACCCCAACCAGGAGTACCAGCATCAGTGTGCGCAGGAGCGCAAAGCCAAGCAGGCCCTGGACAAGGCGTTGGAGTCTGAGGCCAAGGCGCACGACTGGTACTTGGAGCGCAAGGATGCAGCCTTGCATGCGGCCCAGGAGGCTGCCCGAGCGGCAGGTGCGCCCAGCTGAGGTTCCCAGCGAGGTGTCCAAGCCAGCAGCCACGCCCAACCTCGCGGCCATCCTCGAGAGCGACGGGGTCCACTTCGAGGCGGGGCCCGCGTTCTCCCTGGATGGGCTCGAGGTGGACGAGGGCGAGAAAGAGGCGCCCCTGGCGTTGCAGACGCGCTTCGCGTCGGAGCTCAAGCAAAAGATTGGCGAGCTCTTCGGAGAGACGGCCAGCAACCTCGGCCAATGCAGGAAGGAGGCCGACGAAATGCGTCAGCGGCTCAAGGCCAAGCGGCAGCGGCGCGAGGAGGCTCCCCCAGCCAACGAGCAGCCAGGAGAGCCCCCAGCTGATGCTCAGGTGCATGCCGCTGCGCCCGCGGCAGAGGCAGCCAGTGCCGCTTCATCGGCGAGCAATGCGACTGCTCGGGCCGCTGAGAGCAGTCCTGTGCCTGGCGAGCATGCTGCTAGTGCCGCAGGAGAGGGATCGAAGTTCGAGGACAAGGTGCAGCGGTTGCTGGCAGCAACCAAAGGCGACAAGCAGGGGCTTTGACGTGCAATGCTGGGCTGGCTCACGGGTATCGATTCCCAGGTCATCGGGCTCAGCACTCGCTGCGGGGGCAGAGCGAGCGGCTACGGGCCCTGCGCTCACCCCTGCGGCAGAGCGAGCCGCATCATCGGGCTTCGCATTCACCCCAGAGGCAGAGCGAGCGGCTTCGGGCCCCGCACTCACCTCCAGGGAAGAGCAAGCCGCAAGGACCTGCAAGGCTGCGTCTGCCAGCAGCGGGGCCCACCATCGGAAGCAGGAGGCAGCGGACGCGCGGGTGGCCGAGACCCTGATTGGTGATAAGCGTCTCCCAGGCCGCCGACGGGAGGGGCCTGCGGGGAGACAGCGAAGGCCCCGCTGCACATGACGCCCGTGTACAAGATCGCCGCTCGCCCAAGCATTGGGGCCGACCAGTGCAGCAGAGTACAGCATGCCAGCTCAAGCAGAGAGCTGGCCAGTGGATCACGTGCCTGGGCGCCAGTAAGCATGACGACGGTGCCGAGAAGTGGGACGCTGGTACCCCTTCGACTGCTCTCCCTACACCGACGTGGGCGAGATCGCCGACAGCGACGCCCTCTTCCCCACCAACGCTAGATGCAGCTTCGGAAAAAAGTCCGGACGCCCCTCGAGTTCGGAGGAGTAGAGGCTGGAAGAGTCACAGACTCGGCATGAAAGCAGCAACGTGGCCCACCATCGGAAGCAGGAGGCCGCGGACGCGCGGGTGGCCGAGACCCTCCTTCCCGATGAGCGCATCCCCAGGGCCGCCGACGGGTGGGGCCCTCAGGGAGACTGCGAAGGCCCATCTGCAAATGAGCAGGATCCTTTTGATGATTTGGACGAGTACCTCGACAGTTTACAGGCAGGTGATGTTCAAGATCCCCTAGCACATGGAATGGAGCAGGAGGCCGAGCCTGCGATGGACAATACGGCGGGGGAAGAGCAGGTGGCCTCCCTCAAGCAGCACCAGGCATGGCCCAAGGT